AGGAAAATTCAAATAATAAGCTATGATACATCAGATAGGAAGTACTTCACTGTTCTGATGAATAGATCTTTTGCTGAAACTGTCATAGAATTTGGTAGCTTATACATTACAATGAAACAAAGCTTCTTTGACAAACCAACTTGAATGTTCTGCAGGTGACGACATTGTTATTACAATAATAGAGCGGGACACGGAGTATCGATTCGAGATTATATTCGTGTCAATAGTGCTGCGCCGCCCGCGTAGTTCAGTCGATCTTCTTATCAATACAGTAATATTTTTCTTGTTTTATCTTGGGCTCAGTTTATAAATTAAACACGATAACGTATAACCAAAAATGGCACTATTTTCGGTCACGGAGTCTCTAGAACTTTGGAATAACAAAACACCATGAGAGACGTCAATGTCAATACGTACGACAGACCACGTTGAGAAGACAGACAATTTGTCGAAATTCCTCATTGGAAGTAGAATTTTACGTCGCCGTTCATTTCTTAAGAGCTAAGCTCTTGCCAGTGAAACGAACAGCAGACATGCTCGTAGATACATAGGGTTTAAAAGTATCTATTTTTATATAAAATAAACAAACGCTCTGCATGTTAGATCTCCGTGTGCGTGGTACGTTCCTGTTCAAGATTTATAATATTAACGTTGCCTAAATAAATGAAAGGAAGTAATTTCATTTTGTTTTCAAAATAATTGCAGCTTCTTGCATACAGATTTGGCCTGTGCCTATTATGTGGTATTCTGTTCTAACGTTCAAAGACGTCATTGTAGTCGTTCTATGCATACGCATCTTGCAGAATGTGAAAAAAAAAATATTTAAAGAATATTTTTTCTGTGACGCTTATTCAAAGCTGTTACAGCTATAACTTGATGTATAGAAGCATTGAAATAGTATAACAAAAGATTATACCAAACATTTCTAATTATTCCATGCTAAATGTGGAGTTGTGTATCTGTACCTTGAGTTTACAGTGTATTTGTCAATTTAGCTAGCGTTAACAAAAAGAGCACAACTCTTTTTTTCTCTCTATACAAATTTTTACACGGTCGCTGGTACGGAGTGCGGCGATATTGCCGCCGCAACAGAGCTCTATACTCTACGCTATAGAAATAAGGGAGTGTAATCGAACACAGCCATATTTGATGCGCCGTCAGTATCTAATAACTACGTCACAGCGTTACTGATAGAGTAACTGTAATTTCACATTTGCACCAGAACCGTGGCGCAATGCAACACAAATATCGTTATAATAAACCATTCAAAATACGTAACATTGTAATAAATATAAATCTAGCCTTAATTATTTTAAAGTGCACTTTTGAATAAACCTAACACGTCTGGAAACATGAAGAAGGCAGGATGTGACCGTACATTTTTTTACTCCTTACACTACAACGCGTCAAAAAAGTCTGGCATACTATCATATCGCTTTTCTGCTATATATGTACACGTATTTACAATGCTACATTGGCATTTTCATTTCAAATCTTCCTCGTCGTCCTCTACGTAAAGAAGATCCTCCATCTTGGTGCCTAACTTACTACTTAGCTCTTGTTGTTCCGGAATTGGTGAGTCCTGGAAAAGATATTAATATAAAATATAGACTTACAAATATGTCACAGTTGAATGAAAATTCTAATAAAAACGAATGTCAATGCTAATAAAAATTCTAATAAAATGAAATGTCAAAGCTATTGAAAATTCTACTAAGATCAAATGTCATAGCTAATGAAAATTCTAATAAAATCAAATATCAATAGTAATGAAAATTGTAATAAAATCAAATAATCATTTCATTATTGTGCCCTAAAGACACAGCGCCAGTATCAAATTTCAATTTTCAACTAAGAATTTTCATTACTATTTTTTAGATTGATATTACTCTGTTAATACGGAAATATTGACTCTCAATAGGTGGTTTTCTTAAATTCTAAACTAGAATTTCTTCAATTGCTACAATAATATTGATGTTAAAAGCTCAATGCAACTATTGTAGGGTCCATATTTTAGTCGTCGGCTTAGTAAAGATATCATAAAAGTAAAATCGTGAAAATATAATTAAAAAATACCATACGTACCACATTAAATGCAAAAATCAAGACAATATAAACATTGAAAGCACAATCCATAGCAAAACCCGTTTTGTATATAAATAGAATACAGTGAAATAAATACGAATTAAGTTAGATAAAAATCACTACGCAATATTTTCGAGTTATTGAAGTAATTCTTCAATTGTACGTACATTTTTTTCACATATTACATATTGATCATACATATTGGTACGTAAAATTTCCTACGGATAGAACATGCATGCTGAATAGTGTTCTTCAAGTATAATAATCAGAACCAGATACTAGTAGTTTATAGTTATTTGTAAAATACTCAGGCAAAATACTAACAACCTCGCAAAACCATATTACTAACATCAAGCTAAACAACAGCTTTTGTTCCATGACGTTTTTAAAAATATTTTTTGTGATGGGTGTTTGTTTTTTTGGTACTGTTTTCTCCATCGGAAAAGGCAAAGGCACTAATGCGCCATACAGCCAAGACTAAGAGTAATTACTTTCTTGGATTCCATTACAAAAATTAAATGTCTTCGATAGTTTCCATATAGTTTTCGTTTCCGTGGTTTTGTATGAGAAAAAAGTTCAGTATCAATTTTCAAGTATTTTTAAACGTTTGACACTTAATACAGAATCTACGAAAAGTTAACACTCTAAAACGTACTGGTAAAACGTATGCTCGCGCCATGTATTTTCTCAACCCTAACATTGGCGCCGAGCCGCGACGCGAGCCGAAGGAAGTTTCTCCCTTTCTTCACAGGTGGAGTCACCATGCGTGGAGCGGTAATGTGGGAGATTCCCCGCGTTATAATTTACCAAAACTATCCTTTTTTTTACTCCTATAATCTATCAATTATAATTTCATAAACCCATCACAAAGGCGCACTTCATAATTCAGAATCAAGATTCTATTGTCTATGGTGATCTAGCAAACACGCCACAAACTTTTAAAAAAGGGATTGGTTAAAATTGAAGCTGTACTTGGCCACTTAGGGTCGTATTCCAGAACTCTACTCAATGCTCAAGTCAGGATATGAGTATGGTTTAAAGCACTCGAAATCATACCCAAGTCTCTGCCATTAGGGTCGTTTTTCCAGTGCTTGTGTTTCAATTGCAATCCTGACTTGAGCATTGAGTAGAGTTCTAGAATACGACCCTGAGTGCCCCTTTTTTTGCGATTTAAAACTCTAAGGGTCGTATTCCAGGACTCTACTCAATGCTCAAGTCAGGATTTGAGCAGACTTGAGTATGATTTCAAGCACTGGAAATACGACCCTAATGGCAAGGACTTGAGTATGATTTTCAGTGCTCACTGCAATACTCAAGTCCTGACTTGAGTATTGAGTAGAGTTCTAGAATACGACCTTTATACTCTTGTCTCTTTGGTTTTTGTTTTATAGTTTGTTTGGTTTTTGTCTAAATATATGAAGAGGCTCCATGGATTGTTAACAAATATTGGTTGTTTCATTGTTATTTAAAAAGTATTGTATGCAATCATTACATAATTAGGTCTTAAAATCTCGTTACCTATTTCTCACGCCACGAGGCTTTACGGTACACGTCTTTAAGAACCATCATTATGCAACGTTTTTATTGTACTGTCTAATACGTTTTAGAACTGTATTTTGTAGTAAGGAGACAAGTTAAAACGTGTAAACGCCCTCCCAGACCTTTTTCGAATCGGTATTTAAGCTGACGTTTTCTTTTGTTACCGCATACGGTGCCAACTCCGTTTACGAGTAATCTATTTAAATATTTTTAATTCTGTACCAAAGCAAAATCTGTTAAATTCTTAAAAGACATGGAACAAAAGTTGTTACAAATAAACCAGCATATACACTGATTAAGACGTAAATAAAATACCAAATACTTTTAGACAATTTTATTGTGAGCAAACGTGGAGACACAAAAAACTGAAATGCGTGATGTTGAAACTTAATTCAGGATTGTATAAAACATTAATTGTATGTCAATTCATAGGAACAGTGGCTTATTTATTACATAAATGTTATAATACATTGAAATAAAGTGAGTTAATTATTCTCCCTTTAAATATTGTATTACAAAAATATTGCCAACATTAAAAACCGACTTACATTTGCACTTTTTTAAATACCTATTTAATAAGACCACAGTCGCAATCACTTTTATTTCCAAGTATTACTGAACACACATGTCGGCAGTCGTGACGACCGCGTCGGAAGTCATTTGATGTTGAACGTCTGTTTCCTTGTTCTATCTATCGCATACGTAAGTCTGTGGCGGAGTTATCACTATTTTCTTTACGATTGTTCACAATTCATTTCCATATAAATTAACAACAACTGCTTTTCAAGAATAGTAGCCAAAACCAAATAATGATTTTTTTTACATATTACACAGATGTATTCAAAATGATATTTTAAATAATACACCGAGGTTTCTATTGTTAAAATAATTACGTGACAACATAAAGCCAGTATACAATTAATCGGCTGTGCCCATCATATTCTTTTGTTTTTTTTAACTGTCTTCACGAATTAGGTGCTTTTGATATACGTCACTATTCTAGAAAACCAATCGATATTGTCATTACAACCATACTTTTTTAATAATATACACATGCAAAAATGATTGTCATGCAAAATGTTAGATATCGGAAAATTGTGATCTGTAAGTAATCTGGTTTCAATAACAATTTGGCGCAATTTGTAAAATATTATTTAGTAAATACATATTCATTAATGTGCGCAATGAAGAGATAGAGAGTATGCCAAACGGCACGGGGCTACTATTGTTACATTTTCCTTCCGTGCTCCAAAATCACTTGCCCCTTTTTATTCAGATCGATCACGAACTGTCAAAAAAGATTTTTTTTATAATTTTTTTATTATAAATATTATTACCGCCACATCAGGCGGAAGTTTTTACAGATCACAATCTGCGTACAGAGAAGTAGAATCTGCTCTCAACATTGTTAGTATCGTAGCGTAAAAATACAAACCATAATATTTTTCTTCATAATTAGTAAAAAGAACAAACTTGTGAGATTTTTATTAAAGGTAAGAAACATATACTTAAAATTGTTTTAAAGAAATCAGCGAACGGCTGACAGAAGAAGTACTGCACGACTGTGTTTTATCTTTCTCTTTCTATTGCAATTGCGTTTGACGGTACGGTAAAAGATATAGAGCTAAAGCGAAGTCTCAAGTTAACATCTGCGGGTTACACTGAACATTATCTGTCTCTCTCTTTTGCAACTGCGTTTGATGTCGCGATGAAAGAGGCAGAGTCAACACCTTGGCGTTGTATGTTATATGTCGTCAGTCGTTTTTTTGCTTAGCATAATTTTCACAATTTTTTTCTCTGATAACGTTTTATTATCTATCATCAAAAATAAAACTTCCAAAAGTACTATAGAAGCAAACACGGAACACTACGATGGCAGTATTAATACCGTCTTTTGGAAACCATATTCAATTGTCAAAGCGAAAAAATAGCCTTACAACCAGTACCTTTGATGCATAGCACAGTAAGCTTTACATGCATTATATTTTTGAACAAGCAAATCCATGGCACAAAGTCAGTCTTACATTTTTAGTATCTTTTAATGTTCCATATACAAGTAAAAACTTAAATATTGAAGAGTTAACAATCACAGAAACCATAGCAATTAAAAAATTCAATTAAAACTCGACTCTTCACACGTTTGATCGAAAAATTTTAATTTACATTATCATGTGCTCTAACGCAGTGCGTACAAGTAAACCGAAACTTTTTTGTGTAGTCAAGTTATATTTGAATTTTAACTTGACCATTTAACACAGAATATGAAATAAATTTGGGATTTAATAAATTTTTACGACTTCTACGAGTATAGAACGGTAAAATTAACCAAAATGGCCCAATAGTCTGTGTTAAGTGGTCAAGTGTATTGTCATTCAGGATCACATAAGTCGAAGGTTTAAGAGAATCGCCGAGAAGGCGTCAGCGTCCAATACTTGTTGGGCCGTGAAGAGTCGATCATTTTGAACGCCGACTGTGGAAAACATGCAATATCAAGCAAAGCGACACATATACAAGACATCCATGCATATAAAATAGCCACATGCAGTACACGCTAAAGAGGGCTACCATTAAAAATGTAACGCAAATACGCGGGTGAACTTACATGCGCGCAATTGCGCGGGATTGTCAAAAGTTAAAGGCCATCCATCCCTGGCAACTCATTAAACAAATAGGCCTTATATTACTTTTAAATATCAACTCTCGTTTGCACTGAAATCACAAATTAGAAAGCCAAAATAGTACAGCGCCAACAACTGACCTGTGTGTACGTCTCCATATATTCCAAAAATATTATGTATTTATTGTAATAAAGATAATATCTCTAACTATGGGGGGGCTGTTCCATTCGGTGGTGTGAGAAAAACAGCAAAATATCTAATTACAAAACAAACGGAATCACATTTCATCGGTAATTAAATATTAAATATGTAATTTTTCAATTGTCGTGCATTATACCAAGCTCAAGTTAAACTGGTCTATTTGAAGTGAAACATTTTCGAATTCGGGGGCTGGCCAATCGGAGCGCAGTTGTCACCGTAATGGTTTGGAAAAATAGTTTTCAAACAAATTAAATGACATTTCGTCTTTATTCTGGTTGTATAATCGATAAAACTCATTGAAAGCGCCGTATTTAGGCGGTAAATACGATATACTTTTACTTACCACTGTTGAGCAAATTTCCGCACTTGTAATTCCTGCAAGCATTGGAACCAAGCCAACTTAACTAGAATTTAGTATTTTACTAAAAATCAAAGTGAAGCTCTTTGATTAGATTACCACGCAACTTTTTTGTGATAAAAAAGGGTGGCATTGACAGTACATTTGATGTAGAAGCTTTTGTTACTGTTATCCTTTTCACAAACAACTTGACGAAACCGCAAGATACTTGTCAACAGTGACATTCAGTGATAATAGTAGCCCCCATTACTTATGATTTTAATGAAAAAAAACTAGCACATTTCAGAAACAACAAAATTCAACAAATAAAAACATGCAAACCGACCAAAACAATCACTTAAGACTTAGAATTGGGGGTACCAGCATAGTAAAAGGATCTAGAGTTAGGGTTTGAGGTACCAAGGTATGAAAAAGGGTCAGTACTCACCGAAGGCGCGGGCCGTGGGAAGGGATGTAGACATATAATTAACACAGTCATGTTGTCGCAGCCGAGGCCGCCTGTCGCGCAGTTTGGTGCTAAGCACCTTTGCATCAACGCCTCACAAACAGTCGCTGGCTCCCACCCACTTAACAAACGTACACGGCAAAATGATATCACCTCCTGTGAAAAACAAGGATGAAGAAAGTAGGTCAATGTCCCATTTGAACGCTACTAAACTTATGTAAGCTTGCTGTAAATTCAGACCCGATACAATATAGAAAAGTCAGTTTTCTACACTGACCCGGCCGGGGATCGAACGCGGGACCTCAGGCGACACCATGAAAACCGGTGTACAAGCCACTCGTTTTGTTTGATAACACTTGTCTATCGTCAAAAATCGAGTCAAATCTATAGGCAAAATCATTCATTAAAATCACTACATCAACAGATAAATGCACAAGTCAAATTCATTTGTTTGAACTGTTAGTGGCGTCTCATTCAACCTTATAATTTCTCTTCGTATCATCCGATATTACAAAGAACTCAAAATAACAAACTGTTTATTTATTTTTTATTTATTTTTTATTTACGCGCTCAAGTCTGCTAGTCCTAAAAATAACACCAGTAATATAATGATAAATTCAGAGGTGAACCCAAGTAATACTTCGTCTTTTTTAGCAAAACGCTTCTTAGTTAATATGAAGTTTGTTTAGCCCCTCTTCAGTGTGACGTTACGAATAAATACAGCCTGATTTGTGAACGCCCGTAACTATATTGTATTTCAAGGAATTTCGATTTCGATGTCACATTGTGTTTGACCATAACTTTAAGTCTATTTAGATACCTGTAGTTGTTAGATATGCTAAATTACTTATTGTTGCCGTGAAAGAAAAATGAAGAGAATTAAGAGAAAGAAGTAGATAGTGTTTGCAAAGCCATGCTGTGTCTGCAGAAGGCCCCAATTCGATCACGAATGAGAACCTGTATCATTTCGAGCAGTTTACTTTAGTCATTAGTGGTCGCTTTAATCGGCATGTCTTAAAAGTTCGTAACTTTCAAAGTCTATGAAAAAAAATACTTTAAATCTGTTCAGTTTTGCAACTATGCGAAGATAACACATCTTTATCATTATTAAATGTTAAGTATTATCTTCATTAAATGTTAAGTCAATGTTCATCTTAATTCTATTTCCTGCTTACCTCATTTGATAATACTTCCCAAATACCATCACAAGCAATCACAATGAATTCCCAGTCATCATTCAGTTGTCGCACTTGAACATCGGGATACGCTGCAAATACAACAAGGCTTTTGACAACATCGGCCAAGGTAATAAAAGAGAAAAAAAATTCAAATAGTAAAATCTTTTTCTTTACATAAATCTTACAAGTTATGTTAATCACGTTTATTATCAAAACTATTGTAGAGCGAAAACTTACAAAAAGTACAATTTTAATATGAGTAGGTGTCCCATAGGGTACATGGTTTGTTCCACTATTATTTCATTTACATAGTATTTCCAATTAAGAACATAAAAAATGATAAATATAGATTTTAGATATTTTATCTAGTATTTTAATATAAATTACCCGTTACAATCTGTTCCTGTGGCGAGAGTCGGTAATTCCTCTTAAATACGTAGTCGCCGAGTGCCCTCGATAGAGCTAAATTTCCGTTAACCCTGTTCAGCTGTACCCATCCACCTCCCGCCGTTATCCTGCGTAACTCTTCTTCATTGTTAGGTTTGTGGTCGTATGATAATACCTCCACCTAGTAAAACAATAATTTTCGTGTGTTTTTAAGTACTAAGGACTATGGCACAATATCAACGATGACCGAATAATCCATAGGCTTCGTAACATTTTGTGTTTTATTTTTATTTATTTCTTTTTTATATAACAACCCTCTAATCGAGGAAAAACGAAGTAACTTAGGTATTAAAGTCAAATGGTGGGATTTGAAGACCTGCCATATTAGCTAATGAATTAGTAGTTCGTCTCGTCACTTGATATTACAAAAAAAAGACCTAAGTAAACGCTGGTTTCGTCTTGTCAGCTGGTAATTTTGAAGTTAGTACTGTTTCCAAAGTAATGTCGACAATAACTTGAACATCAGACACCAATTTTCTTATTTGTTAAAGGCCAACCAATAAATATTGAGCTGACTCAACACAGTATAAGGTATCCTAAGAGTTATCTGATTCACTCACCGCTCCTCTAACACTGGCAATAGCACGGGAATCTCCGACGTTTGAGCAGTATAGTGTGTGGTCTTTGATAAGAACAACCACGGCTGTGCTTCCCGCTACCTTCTCTTGCAGCATATCTTCCTCTAACATCGCTTGATCGAGATCTAGGAAACCCTGCAACGTTTTTGTATTGACAAAGAAGCGTCTATAGGTGGCAGTAACCGCTTTCTGTCAGGTGGATCAACACTGCTGTCTTCAGTTAAGTGCCATTCAGAAAGTGCTACCCCAAAAATAAGTAATAGTCTGAAAATTGCTTCCAAATACAATAAGTGAAACTATAATATTTATACAGGCGTATATCAATATTTTCAAAAAGTAATGAAAACATAAATTACAATAACTCAATCGTGGTTAATTATATTTAGAACCCAACTTTGTAGAATGACATTTCAAGTCATTGGCATTATAATATAAAAACGAGATACGGCCAACAATCAGAGGCAATTGCCATTGACATTGGCAAGAGCATCTATGGTCGAAATGAATCAATTGCGTTGTGCTCTTGCATCTATTCTGCCCTCGGAACGAAAAAAGGCACAACTGCTGTGTAAAGTACGCATAGTTGTGCCATTTTTCGTCAAGAGGGCAGTATTCTAAAATACATTGTTTTGCAATTTCTTTATTCCCGACTTCTAAAAATATACAAAAATAGATAAATTAATAATTAGGCATAAACTAAAACGTAAAATTTATACTAGCAAAGTCCATGAACGGCACTTCGTTGATTTTGGGTCAGCTTTCGCCATACTTCTTTAAAGAATATACTTCACCTATACATAAGAGCATTTACGCACAGTGTCGATTCAAATTCGTTCCGAGTCCGAGAAATACACAAGCGACATACGAAGTGGGTCAGAGTTTTCTAGATTTGTTACCACTGCCACACAGAGGTCCCAGGTTCGATTCCCGGACCGGGAGAAATATTTGTATGACCTACATTTATTTCTCTCGTGAGTTTGGGTGTAATATGTGGTTGTCTATGTGTGTTGTCCATGGCACCCGCGGCACAGGGTTTCCCTAGTGCGGGGGTAGTTTAATCTAATACTGCACTAGTTTATTATTATTATTGTTACAAAGATCTTACAAACAGAAAGAAAAATGCCTTCGATTCGACTGAGCTCCAAACTTGCGTCTGTTACCACAACGTAAACGAACAAAAAAAAACGTGAAAAAAATTAATAATCATAGAATAGTGTTTTAAATTCAAACCCAAAGCTTAAATGAGGTGAATTTCTCGATGTTATTGTATACCTCGTGATCAATTTGCACTGGTGGGTGTATCAAAAGATTTCCGCGTAACATTTAAAATAAACGATCACGTTTTTCTCATAAAGCGTATTTACTACAACATACATGATTCATATTCATCTTAAGTTATTACTAAGATCTATTTTTAATGTCATTGTTCTCCACCATGCAATGTTGGTATTTGGCAATAGTTCAAATGCCATTTTAAACGTTAAATTCACTTACTAACTTTTATATAATATGTGGAAAAGTTTTTAATAAAATCTCTTCCTTTGGCTAGATTTAAAAGGGATCTGCACACATATCTTTTGGAACATCTATTCTGCTCCGTTGACGATTTTTTCAAATATATAGATGCTTGATCCCAAATCGATGCATATATTCATCTTTTGATTATTTCAATAAATTTCTTAATGTATTGTATATTTGCATGCTCTTATTTAAGGCTAAGTAGGATTAACCTCTACAATTTCATTTTACCACCAACATTTGTAATGTACCCTTTACATTATACAGCAAATAAATTTTATTTTAATTTATACTTTTATTCAAAAAATGACACCATTTTTCTTTATGAAAACATCATGTCACTTTGCTCGCTCGATTCAGAGTTACTTGACTTGTGTAAAAAAACATAATTTTCGTCTAATTCATATATTTTTTTTAGAAATACTCTACTAAACACAAATTCAAATTCCTTCTATCCCAGTGGAATCGAACCCGTTGATGCAACAGACACTAGTTCGAGACTTCGAGTCCAGTCTTTTTTTATGGTACCAAATGACGGGTTAAAGAAGTCGAGCACCTGACCCGGTGGTGAGTTCAGACTCAGTTACACGAGGAGAAAGTTTCCGCGCGGCCGCCCAGTTACCATGCCTTCATGTACACTAATGGCGAATCTGAATTATATTTACTAGGCAACAACATTTAAATTCCTCTGAATAATACTCGCGGTCGCCTACCGCCCGGCCGCAGCGTAGATCAAATTCGAGCCAGATTCGTCCGGGTGACCGGGATGCTCATTTAAGTTAAAACGTAAAAGCTAAATAAATAGAGCGTATTTTGCTATGACAGTTAGACCGCGCAATAAGTGCGCCCTAACAATTGCAATGCCAATCACAAAGACCTGAGGGGACACTGCCACTGCGCCAGTCACACTGAGATATAAGTTGAAACATCCCGTGTGCCTGTAATTTCACTAACACTCTTATCCTGCAAATCCAAAACGCAGTAATGTTCACATTACAGCTTGGCGGCAGAAATAGGTAAGTTGGCAGTATTACCGTGGACGAACCCCTTCTCAAGGAGCTCTACTGCCACTGATCGAAGGAATATTTCTATGTTGTTGTTAGATTTATGTATCAGTAATTATATTACTCGTGTTACAAGGGGCAGTTTATACGCAGAATATAAATTATTTTATTGTGGTATTTGCAATACATTCAATCTAAAATTACACTGTCCTAATTGAGTACAGAAATAATTGGTCAATTAGCTTTGAATATGATTTGTAGTTATATTAGAGCCTGTATGTTGTTTTTAAATAGAAGTTATCAATGGACATTGTTCTCATATACAAATATAGGCAGGCCGTGGAAGCCTAGTGGAAGAACATGTGCTTGCCAATTGAGAGGTAGCAAGTTCAAATCCCTACGTTTACTTAAGTAATTTCTGTACGTTATTTGCGAAAACCATCGAGTATATAAGCAGAAATAGAGACGAAATAAGGGCCATCCATATCTGACAACTCATCAGGCAAATGGGCCTTATATTACTTTTAAACATCAACTCTCGTATGCGCTGAAATCACAAATTAGAAAGCTGAAATAATACAGCGGCAACAACTGACCTGTGTGTACGTCTACGTAGAGATGTATATATATATATATATTATATATATATATATAATATATAGAATATTCTGTATTTATTGTTATAAAGACAATATCTCTAACTATGGGGAGCTGTTCCATTCGGTGGTGGTGTGAAACAGCAAAACTCGAATTACATAACAACCGGAATCACATTTCATCGGTAATTAATTATTAATTATGTAATTTTTCAATTTACGTCCATTACAGCAAAGCTCAAGTTAAACTGGTCTATTTGAAGTGAAATAATTGATGACCCCGTCAATTGTTTCGAATTCGGCCTGGCCAATAGGAGCACAGTTGTCGTAATGATTTGGCAGAAGTTTCAAACAAATTAAATGACATTTCGTCTCTATTTCTGGTTATTACTCGATGGTGAATAATTAGCAACAATACCTCTCACGGTAAAGGAAAACAAGTGTTCAAACCTTGCAGCCCAGGCTTGGCGAAATTAAAGAATGAAGACTCGGTCCACAAAAATGTATTAAAGGAAAGGGTAAAAGGGGAATAAAATACAGTGATAAAAAACAGGTACAATAGTATAAAACACTCCCTTACAATGGATTAACATAAAGTAGACACTTACCCCAAAAGGGTCTGTATTCGTAGATGTATCCCATGCTTTACAAGCAGTTAAAATGTGTCCTTTCTTTTCAAAAATTTTGACGGAACGAACCAAAGTAAGAATTACGAAGAAAAGGAATTAGAAAACGATTCAAAATTTCAAAAGTGGCCAGGAACGAGAAGAGAGGTTAATAAAAAGGTGGGATGGCGATGAAGGAGGCCGCATTGTCACAACCTGAACATTCGACTGTTCACAACCCTTGAAAAACACATTGGGCCAGCGGGACAGGCTATGGCCGAAGCCCTCTCATTAGGAGATCTGTGTTTCTCAGCTATTTAAAACTTTCTCCATACCTTGCTTGCTTGCCTGTTGTAAGTAGTTTTAAATCAGCCCTTTAAGCGCCCAGTTACACGTGGAAAAAGTTTACGCGCGGCGACCGCCCAGTTACCACGCCTTCGTGTACATTAAAGGCGAATCTGAATTCTATTTACTAGGAAATAACATTTAAATTAATGTAAATAATACAACCGCGCCGCGGCCGCCGCGTGGACCAAATTCAAGCCAGACTCGCCCGCGTGTCCGGGACGCTCATTTAAGTTAAAACGTAAAAGCTAAAAATAGAGCGTATTTTGCCCTGACAGTTGCAGCTGTGCGGCTCCAACGCAGACTCCGCTCGGCGACCGCGCGGGGTGACCGCGATGAAATTCGTGTCAAATAAATGCGCCCTAAGGACTCTTGTTGCGGACGGACGTCAAAGTCAACCTATACCCCACTCCCATGCACATTCCATCACGTCTAAGGTTACCGTTTAAGTACTAATTACCTGTTTTAAAGCCTCTTCAATATTACCAAGATGGTATTCTGGTCTAGCTGTTATGAATTTGTGGAGATGCTTGCCTGCATACTCTGCTATGTTAGAGCCTGGAATATTAAAATATTGTGAGCCCTCTTCCAATGAAAATTCAATATGCTAATGTATCTGTGACAACTGGACAATGAAAACCAACAATTGTGTAAAAAAAGTATAATAGTCCCTATACATATAAAGAAATGTCTAATAGCCGCTCTGTGTAGTTCCATAGAAATAAATATTGTATTAACTAAGCCCTGTTTAAATGTTGTCTAATAGACAGACAGAAGGCAGAGTTAATAGCTCTGCCTTCTTTATCATAAGGAAAGTTAAGTACGAGTACGTACGAGTTGGACGTTCCGTTTGATGGAATAGAAAGTGATTAACATTGGCTACCAATTTATCGTTCGTTACGCTACATCACGTGACATTTCATACGCTTATGTCAATCCCATAGATTGTCTTTCTATTCCATTGGCTATATCGCTAACAAAAAGACACGTTGTCTAGGCCCTCTGAGCTATTAACATATCTGGGATCAGCAAAACAAGATTTACAACCTCCTCTAATTTTTATACCTTATTTAGTTTCAGTTTTATTGTTAAGCAAAACTAGCGTACTTGACATTTTTAGGTGACAATAAAACATAGGTGTTTTATTTATTATAACTCGAAAGTTACTGAAATGTAAATGCGTTAAGTTACAACAAGGCGAGCAGAACTGTTGACAATTACTACTTTGGTCCTGTTTTTAGTTTGAAATCAATCATTATCCGTCATTACTTAAAAACTTAGTTCATGCAGTATTGTTCCTTATAACAATAATGGACATAACAAAGTGTTTTAACGAAAATGAATTATTTACTTCAGACAAGTTAGCATATTGGCCTTTTCCATTATTCACTCAAGTTTATAGTCTATAACATGAAACATTACATGGAATAAAAGCTACATTTAAACAATACAATTCAATATTGTTATCTTAGTATATAAGGAAATAAATGCGCTTACATTTCAGATAACAAAACTTGTTATCATGAAATAAACAGATTAAAAACATTGTTATTTATTTACTTTTAAGTATTCAACATTCAGTACAGAAAGAAAAAGACCTGCATTCAATTCCTGTTAGTGGCACAAAAAGATTGCGCAGCAATTGACAACTGTTACACCTTCAAGTATTCAAATAAACTAGCAAGGATACCAACCACCATGCCCATCATAGACAGCAAAAAAGGCCGTGCCAGGATCATCCGGCAGCGACAAAATGTGCGTATGTGAGTCGTCCATTGAAACACGCCAGCCTTGCATGCAAGATGACCCAACTAGATACCGGTGGTCCTGACATGTTGCAGACTGCTTCTCAGTCACGGGCTCTGAAAGGGTTTGCCCCATCACTCTGAAAATATCATTACACATTATAAAATTATAACAAATTATTATACAAGTTGTTTTCTATTACATTAAATTCTTTATTGCATTTACCATAACGTTACGCTCAATGGAAATGGATTAAAGCTAAGTTAACAGCGCATTATGGACCCTGGATGGCACTTCAAATTATATGTTCTAGTGAGGAAGGAGGATTTACTCTATTTTTTTTTAATTTAGGAACATTGCTTTGCCTTACAATTAGTTTAAGGATATTTATGAGCCCAGAATGATAATAATTTCTCAAGTTATATATTACTATATCTAGTCAAAATTCATTCATTTAAATCAATACATTGACCGACAAATGACATAAGCCAAATCAATTTGTTACAACTTCAATTCTAGTGATATTTTCTTCAACCATATTGTTTTCTTTACTTCTGACATTACACACAACAAAGAACACATAAATTTTGTTGATTTTTTTTCACTTATGTGATTAAAAGTCTACTGACAGATATGTTCTTCAATATTTTACAGTGTGTGTCAAAATTTAACTAAAACTATCGTCATTTAAACATTTATCACATCTTCTAGAAATATAAAATCAGACGGTGTTAAAAAACGTTGCAGGTTTTAGTCTAGTGGTAATAAGTTAATTATAAAAAAATAACCACACAAATCTTAAAATTAACGATCACTAAATTTAAAAGAAAATTGAAGAGCATCAGAACAAAAACTCACATTTTGACTTACAATTTTTATAATGGTAGTTTTTGTTCGTTTCTATGAATAATTTATCCTACCTGAACAACTGCTAAATCCATTTTATAAATATGTTTTGATTTCACGGAACTGAACACAATTGAGACAAATTCATTGAAAGAGACGGGATAAAATTATTCATTATCTGTTTTTGTTTCAATGCGTGAATAGTCCTCAATGAAGATACGTGAATAGTCCTTGAATTTCCTAAATTGAAATCTTGACCATATGTTATGTCCCAAATTATGTTCAGAGCAGGAGTAGCAAAGACTTAAGAGAAAGTGCCTAAAATATATAGCATGGTCTTGAATGGAAATGACATGCCTTTCATATATCAACAGATAAAATGTAAAAGGGGCCAAACAACATTACAAGTAGAAAATTGTTGTTGTAGCTTTACTGTCAAGGGTCACTTGGCAGGTAAGTTGGCAATCAATTGTAAATCTGCAAAATATTGCATTCAGATTTTGCGTCCAGCTAGCAATGCTTATGTACCGCAAGAGACGCATGTAAACTGATGATCAAACTCGCAGGAAGACCTTATTGTTGTTTTTGCACCACATATGTTTTGAGTATCAAATCCTTTATTCAATTGAATAATAATAATAATAATAACGTGCACACACTGATAGCCCCACACTAGGGAAACCATATGTTGCTGGTGCCATGGACATACACATAAACAACCACAAATTAGACCCAAACTCACGAGAGAAATAAATGTAGATCATACAAATATTTCTCCTGGCCCGGGAATCGAACCTTGTACCTCTGCAAGGCCAGCAGCCTGCAGTGCAGCATGGTAACCGTTCGACCACTGAGGCAGTTTTTAGACAAGTTTTAGATAAGTATAAAAGACTATTTAAAATTTAATGTAACGTTTTTACTTCCTAATTGCTGAGTCACAGATTATATCAAAAAATACTATTACAATTTATCTCGACCTTTGTACATAATATGTTTATATAACAACTGGAGCATTGATATTCTGATGTACTTTTGCAAAGAATGAGAATACAGCTTTAGAACTAGAACGTTACAAATAAACTACTAGTGTCTTATATTGAAATGCAACACCAAACAGCGTCTAATATCATAAAAAATTAGTAACTTCTGATGTCATTCTAGGGAAATAATCCTTAAGTGTTTTGTAACATTTTAAGTTGTGTAAGTACTATATTATGCTTATATATTATAATTTTTCACGTCTCAAATGCTGATAATCACAGCAATTGAGCCAATTATCAAATATAAACATGATAACGTTTCATTATTTACTTTTCCCGGATTTCTAGGCAATGAGATTGTATATAAATAGCAAAACATACTTACAGCAATTCCAAACAGTTTTTTTGTTATTTAGATATTTCGACAACAATACTACTCTCAAGCAAACAAAATAGTACTATTATTTTCTAACAAATTCCTTCAAATAGAAATGCGTAAAATAAAGACGCAAAAGTCAAAGTGACAGAAACTATAGACAATTAATTTTTTTTTTTTTATACAGCTATAGGACCGAGGCATTTGGTTATATTCCCAATATTATAATGAAATACCGACTGTGTGTACGGTGTATAATTAATAGGTCTTCCAGTAACAGGTTTCGTTTTGATATGTAAAAAAAAATCCAGCTTCATTTTCGAAAAAGTAAGGTCACACAAGTAATGATATCATCGCTCTTTTGCGTGAAGTTTCTTTACCGGGTGATTTCTCGAAGAGACGATCACAATTGACCACCGAAATCTTGTTATTAAACACCTTTGAAGTTTTTTTTTTAGGGTTACGTGAAAGATAAAGTCTATGCCAATGGCCAACAATCGATTCAAGGCCTCAACGATGGAATTCGTGATGTTATTGAGAATATACAGCCGCAAATGTGCGAATTAGTGATAGAAAATTTCATGAAAAGAAAATGTCCTGCAAGCGCACCCGTAGCGGCCATTTGACTGATATTGTTTTCCAGTATTAAAGGCATACCCTTCTCTTTACAATTAAATAAATATTCGATGATTTCGCTTAAAAATACTCGTTTTTTTAATAAGTAGCCACTTGGTGCAACTTGTTTGTTACTTTGTAACATTGACATTTCTTTCTATATTAAATACTTGGCTTCAGTTGTGTTGGACGTCACACAAATCTCCTTAATATACATATATTATGTAAAAACAAACTGTAACATACCTAATGTATAAGTGATAAGTTTAGGTTCTTCCGAAATATGAAAACTTTACACTAACCGTATCAGTTTTGGAACTGGATACATTATTCAGATTGAAATAATTGTATTGTCATCTGTAAAAACTATTAAAATCGAAGAAAACGCGTAAATTTGTACAAAACAAATAAAAATAAGTAAAAAAAACTGAGATAGATCTTATTGAGATGAACAGTGAAGTAAGTCAATATTTTGATTGATTGCTGTCATAAAAAAAAATTATTATTTTTCCTTAATGGCCGTCAATAAACTTTCCAGCCTATTATTAATTTTGATTTGTGTAAAAGTTTCATAATAAATACAAACCTTTGATACTTGATTTTGATTCTCATTTATCGCAAACGACTTTTTGGTCTAAAATGTTTGCAAGTCAAAATGTAACTAACCAATTACAGTAACAGCCGTTTAACAACACATCAGAAACGATTTATGTGTTATCAATTGATATTGATTATATGTTATGATTATAAAATGATGATAGTGACGTGCTATGCGTAACAAAGTGAATAAAATTGCACACACTGGCACATTTTAGCATACGTAACAAAAAAATGAGAAGACAAAATATATTTGTCGCCATTAAATTAACATCTTTGAATAACTAACTTGACTTTATAAAGCCGTCCTTAACCCTTAATGAGAAGAAAATAAAATTAAAAGAAAATTGATTCTTTGATATTAATGCTCTGGCCACACAGAAGCTGTCGCGGAAGCATTCCGGGCGCAGGAATTTTTGTAATGTACGAGTTCATATGAACCCTACCATAATGAAACGCGCGTCGGCCGCGCGTCCCGGCGCCCTCTGTGCGCCCTGCATTAAATGCAAATCACACACGGTTGAAAATGAGAAAACTAAGATTTTAACATCAAATAAACTGAGGTTTAACAAACGATGTCTTGTGGTTACCGAACTATAGGATTGCTAAGCAAAAAAATGCTCGAAAGTTACTTAAAGATACCTACGCAAAATAGTACTAGACGCTTACTAGCCCTTAAATACTTTACGGGTCCGTACGAACCAATAATAATAGTATTATCATATCATACATATAATATAGTATCAGAGTGTGTAATTTTTACTCAAGTAAGTTTTTTTCTGTAGGTAATAACTAAAAACTCATTGAATTTATATATTGTTTTGATTCTGTACTTATGTCGTTTGAGTTTATGTCAAAAATATTACATCAAGTTATTGAGGTTTTAACGACTTTTTAGTCGTAGCGCCATTTATGAGAAATCTATGAAAGATTTATCACCCAGTTAATACCTTAACAGCTACCAGTCCTGGCGAGAGATGTCGCTATTCACTGTATATCAAATTTTTATTGAATTGATATTCAACGTTTATCTTCAAAAATTTGAGACATGTGAGTTATCCTAATATTGTCAAGATGGTATATCTCACACTCTGCCAATCAATATTGACATATTGTGTTGAAATATGGGGTGGAGCGCCCACATCAACTTTACTGCCTCTTGAAAGAGCTCAAAGGTCAATACCGAAAGTTAGTCACTTTCTCCGACGCTTGTATCCAACAATTACGCTTTACAATGACTGTAAAAAGAAGAAATCATACCGTCTACCCAACAGTGACCTTTCGAACAAAATTCGCTGGGAATTTTTTTGCTTTCTGGGAAGCTACTTATATAATAAAATAAATAATGCACTGGCCTTTTACCCTCTAGACATGAGTGTAAGAATAAAATAACAAATTGGTTAAGTACTCAATCTCGATTATCAGACTACAGAAGATCTTCTATATTTATTTGGAATTTATGTACCCCGCGTGCATGCACACGCGCGCGCACACACACACACACATCCTGAGAGTATGCTATTACATGCACATACCCGCATCTCTGTTTTACTGTTTTATTTTTTATTATTATTTATTTTTTATGTGTCATATGTACTTATTCTTTCATTTTACTGGTTGTACTTACGTCACTAAATTATCATCATTTTATTTGTATTATTATATTATCAGTTTCTGTAATAGCTTACAATATTTGTAAAACTTGATGTTTGTAATGCTCGGCTCAATTAAGCCCAAGCTCGGGCTAAAACTCCCCCTCGCATGTTATAATCAATACGCATGTATATCGTACGACGTTTTTTAACACATTTGCGAGGAAACAGAAAAAAAACATTTTATATATTGCTCATCTTCATTATTGAAAGTTGTCATTTTTAGATATTCACAATACAAGTACAAAGAAAAGAAAATTTTAGAAAAATGGCGCGAGGATTATTTTCTACCGTGGCTGCGTGAAAATGTTGGCAAAGACGCTAGAGCATGCAGCCAAGTTTTTAAATTACCAAATAAACTGTTTTTTTTTTTAAAATAAACTCAATGTGTGAATGCACACTGTTGCTTTCCCGCCATTTTAACAGCGCGCTAGCGCTGCCTACTGACTGGTGCCGCGCGGCGATTTGTTTGAATAGCAACAGCGCGCTGCTCACTAGCTGGAGTCGTGCGGCGGCGATCAGTTCCATATTTGAAATGGCAACACAAATAATACTGTTATGGAATTTGTATGCACTATAACTTAACTATTTGCTTTGGTAACACACGCGTTTTTTATGACCCGCTTTACATTACATTACATCAGCTTTACGAGCAAGGGTGTTAAAAATTACATTATAAAACTTTGTACCCTTTGTAAAGAGAAAAATAATGATTATTATAATTAATTACTTTTTTATTATTTTATTAACTTTGTATTAATAATTATAACAAACTAGTGGAGTAATTTCACAAAAAATAATTGAATATCAATTCAATAAAAATTTAAAATAAAGAAAAAGTCAAACTAATTTATTTCGAATCATGGTCATACACATGAAAACAAAAAAAAATCGATATAAAACTAGTCTAAAATGAAAATTTGAAAGTTGTGGTTTTTGCTAAACTTGTTTGTTTCGAATTTAGGATTATTTATTTATTTGTTTATTAAAAAAAAAATTTTACAAAAAGAAAACTTATAAATTAAAACTTAGCGGTACCTACAACAAAAACCTGAATAGGTTTATCCGTACACCGCGATTCATTGACGTGAGCTCGTAACAAAACTGGCTCCGTAACCCGTTTGCTTACGTACGCTTACCTACCCACTACCATAAAAACAACCACTACTCGAGTAAAAGACCTGTGAACGAAAATAATAAGTTATAGCGAAACAGATAAATACCCTCGGAGTGGTGTTACAATAAAAACAGTCACTCACGTATACAGAACGTTCAGAGTTTATTTAATAAATAGATATGATTTAAGATTTATTTTTATGCTGTTAGTTGTAAGGTTAATTTTTATTTCTGGTGGTAGTGAATTAATTATTTTAGGTATCTGATAACTCAGTCGATTTTTACCGTATTTATTATTATAACGAGGTATTATTAGTAATTGACTGTTTACACTTCGAGTTTCCATTTTGTAACAGACTTTTTTTTTATTAAAAAATTTTTATTAAAAAAAAAATTACTAAAAAACTTAGAATAATAACGCATAGAATGATAGTTTCATATCAAACGAACTGTCACAAGTGAGGCAAAAACCAAATTCATGTAGGCGTAAGCAACTTGTAACTACGCTCGTCGGCACGCACACAAATATACAAATAATGATGCCATGGAATAACATTTCCCTCAAAAGTGGGGAAATTGTATCTTGCTTAACTCATCATTAAGTTAAAGGTGCCTACAGATTTGCCCGACATTGTCGATCAGGTGCCTACAGATATGCTCGGTTTTGTCGATGAAAAACGAATATAGCACTTATTTGTAAATCCAAGATGGCGGACACGATTTTTCAAAATATGCTATACGGGTATCATTTTCGAGGTATTTGGGGATGCTCATTACGAATATGGCACTCATTTCTAAATCCAAGATGGCGGACACGAGTTTTCAAATAAATGCAATATGGGTATCATTTTCGAGGTACTTGGGGGTGCTCATTACGAATATGGCACTCATTTTCACAAAACAAGAAAAAAGAAAAGAAAATTTTGTAAATCCAAGATGGCGGGCACGATTTTTTCAAAAAAATGCTATGTGGGTATCATTTTCGAGGTATTTGGGGATGCTCAATGCGAATATGGCACTATTTGTAAATCCAAGATGGCGGGCACGATTTTTCAAATAATGGCAAGTTGGGTATCTTTTTCGAGGTATTTGGGGGTGCTCATTACGAATATTGCTTTTATTTGAACTGTCGTGTTTGCCATCTTGGATTTAGAAATGAGTCCCATATTTGTATTAAATAAATAAAATAAAAATAAAAAAATAAAATAAAATATTGTTTATTTCAGACTTCGTCCATAGTATTGTTAGTTAGTTAGTAACAATTTGACTTAAAATTAGGTTAGTACATAAGTAATTAATCTATAAATTTATAATAAAATGCTACAAGAAGGAAGGGCACATATACAACTCCTACACATCTAATTTCGGATATGGACATATACCCCCCTCTGTAGGTCCATCCAATATTTGAGGATGGGGCCCTCACACCTATCAGCTATCATCTTCAGGACTCCGTTGGTGCTGCAACGCAATCTGCATCTCAGGGAGTTCGCCTTTTTACGCATGATCGCATAGAAATCGTCAATACGGGCTTCGGCAAACATCCCCGACGCACTGCAGAAGCGCGGCCTCCCCAACAAAGCCCTGAAGATGTTATTAAACTGAACGCGCAGAGCACTGTAAGCACATTTGCTATATGAGATCCACAGACTGCTCGTGTAAAACGACTGGCAATATGTCTTAAAAAGTAAAATCTTTATTTCTTTAGTACTGCGAGCAAATCTGCGGATCAGCATATTTCCCCTTACCACCAGCGCTCTACGCTCTCTTTCAATGTCACTGTCGTCTTTAAGGCGTTCATTCACAATGTGTCCCAAATATTTAAACTCAGTGACTCTTTTGAGGTCTACTCCATTAAGCCGTATTGGAGGTACATAATTTGAGGTTTTAAAACCCGCTTTGAAAACCATAAATTCACTCTTTTTTACGTTATAACATAGTCCATGCGAGACCGCATACTCTTCACATAACTTTAAAAGTTTTCTCAACGCACTGACAGACG